AGAGGATGAGCACGATTCATTCGGTAAATTAGCCGTCTCTCTCTCTCTCTCTCTCTCTCTCCCTTTCTCGGACTAGGATTGTTAGACAGAGCTGAGCCAACTGCAGTTATATATGAAGACAATATCTACCCACTTGATGTTATATGAAGGTAGGCACGCGCGCTTACAGAAAAAAAACGACGAGCAGGAGGAAGAAAATATGCGCACGCCCGCGTCAGTTTCCTCTAATAATAGAGCATACACGAGGCATCCGCCGATGAAAATGCCACCTAGGAGAGAAAAGCAGCCAAGGTTAAACAGACTCTCTCTCACCCAAGTACACATAGCGGACTGTCCGCTGGGTGCTGATGTTCCAGGCGTAGAGATTTTAATTTTCTCTGTTATAGATCTATACCTATGAGTGTTTACTTAGGTGAACAGTTGTCTTTCTTAAACTCTTTAATTCAGACAGTTTATGACAGTCAGCTGAACAAAAAATTATAGTATTCAAATATGATTGGATGTTCCAAAAAAGAATAACCTTTAAATAGATGGATTAGGATAGTTCCAATTTGGATTAGAATATATGCCGACGCGACTTATTAACTGATGAATTTCCTCAATTATTCTTACAATTAATTTCAAGAATTTAGGAATCAGTGAATGAAGTTTTACCATAAATCCCAATTATGACCGTACATACGTACGTACGCAATAATTGAAGTTAAAAAGCACTTGAGTGATGAACAAACTTACGCAGGCTTATATTTAAAAGTTGAAAAATTCTAAATATTACAGAAGAACACAAAAAATCAATTTAAGCAATACTGTATAAAGGGCACGTAGGACTATTCGATGAGACAGCGTAGAGCAAGTAATAAGCGAACGCATAAAAAAAGTAATCAAAGTAGGAAATTATATCGTGTAGTCTTCGGAAATTAAAGCTCTTTTGCTTCAGCATCCTGAAGCAAGTGATGCTGTAGCGGTCGGTATATCGCGCAAAATTGACATCAAACGACCAAAGACTTTTGGACAATCTTCTTATGAAGCTAATGCAACTAAAATCAATTTTCTTTAAGATATTCATACATTTCCAAGTAAAAATTAATAATTATCATTTAATTCATGTACCTGATTGAAATGGTCTTAATCACCAAATACCGGCGCACATTGAATACTATTCTATTCCATAACTCGGAAATGTGAAAATTCAGTATAGAACTATTTATATGTACTGAAAGAAATCTTTGTGTAACAAGAGGATAATGAATTGAAGCAACTCCACTGAATGATAGAAGAATTCTTTTTATATAACAAGAAAGAATTCTATTGTAACTAAAGGACTCTATTTCTGATAAGAGAACTTCCATTGGAACAAAAATATTATTACGAGAGAAATTTCCATTTGGGCTATTTCTAGTAAAAAAAATCTGAGGTTCGGCTATACAAAATTTGTATTCACTCATTATAATAGACAAATCTGTATTACTACTTAACTTTTTAGTTCCACTAATTCGATGAAAAGAATGGGGATAATACGTCTAGGTTAACCTGCGCCAATCAGCATTGAATTTTTTAGTAGAGAAATATCAAAGATCCTTTAATATATAAAATTTTTATTCGTTTTTAAAGTTTATCTTTTAAAACTATCCTAAATAGTAGACATATTTTTATTACAATTCAAATTCTTTGTTTCACAAATGGAATAAAAAATGTAATATTGGTATACTTAACATCTATTGGGTCGCTTAGACCAATCAACGTTAAGTAGCTTTCTGCTGATTGGTCGATCTGATTATCAAATCATGTGACAACACGGTAGGGTATATAAGCCCCTGCAGCACGGACTGGCATCAATTGCTCGAGTTTTCTGCTCGAGCAAACACAAAGTATCGAAAAGGAAGTCATCATGGCTTTTTTACGAAAACTTCTGACCGCAATGGGCTTTTATAACCCAGGCTTCGACATCATCAAAAGCCTTCCTATCGAACTCTCCCAAATGATTTTCAGCTACTTGGACTCTTCTTCTCTTATGAATGCTGCTCTAGTCTCTCATTACTACCTGTCTATCTGCAAATCTACCACCGCTTTCAGACAAAAAATACGTCGCCATATTCGCCGACGCTACGGCAAATTTTCCAAAGTTCTACCGTTTACCAAACCTTATAAACCTATCATCAAACCCATAATTTCTGTTCCTCAAACAAACATACGCATGCATATCGCTTCTTCTTTTATCAAACCCTCAACATACATTCCTAAACTTCCTACTTCTAAACCTACCGTCCAACTTGCACAATCAACTTTAAAGCTCCGTACAATTTCTCCTTCCACTAAAACACCCATGCATACTACTAGTACTTTTACTAAATCCAAACTTTTTTCCAAAAAACTTTTTGCATACAAATGTCTTAGAATATAAATATTAGTTTTGTGATCTGTTGACCTTAGTTATAGTATACTTTTATTTGTATAACACTAATCGTTGGAGATAACATTATTATTAATTACTATTAATTGTAGTTTTAATTAGGTGACTATGATCGCTGGCGATCGGATAGTTTATTAGTTATATCTACCATATATTTTATAGCAAAGATCTAGATAACAACTTTTTTACAACATACTATTATACTGCGTCGATATAATTTTTTGTGGTTTTGTTAAATACGTATATAAATATTAGCTTTTTGTCTTTATACTGTTGTTGAAAGTAACAATAGTCTATTTCTGTTATAATTGTTCAATTGACATCGGATATTTTATCCATTATAGTTTTGATGGTGTGACGAGGATCGCTGGTGATTCGATAATTCATTAGTTATATCCATTACATATTTTATAGTAAATATACAAACAACATAACGTTTTTACAAATATAACGATGACGTATAATTTTCCTTTCGAACCAAATTCTTTTCAGCTATCTAGACTCGCCTCCTCTTGTGAATGTTGCTTTAGTCTGTCATATTACCCGTCCACCTGTAAATCCATCTCCGATTCGAGATAAAAAGTTTGTCACCATATCTGCCGTCGCTGCGGCATATTTTCTAAAGTTCTACGGTTCACCAAACCCTATCCATCCATCATCAAACCCTTCATATCTGTTCCACAAACAAACATACGCATGCATACCGCTTCTTCTTTTATCAAGCTTTAAGCCAACGTTCCTAATATTCCTACAGTTAAACTTCCATTCTACTATCAAAATTAACTTTAAAGCTCCATACGATTCCTACTTCCACTAAACCACCCATCCATTCTATACTCACATATACACCAAGGCTAGACTTTTTTTCAAATAGTTTTAACTTACAAAAAAGTATAAATCTTAAATTGTAGTTTTAACATGATTACTATGAGTAATAAATTTCAGGACAATGATCGCTGGCGATCATGTATTTCTTTCGAGAATTATGTTAAATTTGATGTTGAAAGTTTTTTTTGAAATCTAATTGACGTAGTTTACTTATGTACGAGTACATTCAAACGTCGATTTTCAGTATAGCTATAATTAATTCATTTTGTATAAAAAAAATTGCAAAAATAAAAAAAAAGCATCGTATCATTTTGTTAACAATCGATTGTATTCAATTCTTTATTAAAAAAACGAGTTTGTATTGTAATTTAGATATAATTTATATATATAATGCACGATCTGTAAGACAAATATGAAAAAAATCAAAATCTTTTGCTTGTCATTACGTATTCGACAAAACAACTCGACATCTCAAAGTCTCTACCGGTCCACGGGAGATGGAGAAAGAGAGAAAATCAAGGATAGGAGAAATGAGTGTTTGGCCGTCCTCGACCCAAGCGGAGACTTGCCTTCTCGAGGTTGTCGTGTCTGTCTCTCTTCTCAGCTCTCTCTCTCTCTCTCTCTCTCTCTCTCTCTCTCTCTCTCTCTCTCTCTCTCTCTCTTTTTGTTCTTTTCCTCTGTTTTCGATTCCTTCTTTTTTCTCTCTTTCGTCATATACCCTCTCAGTTCATCTCATAGTCTTTCTCTGTCTTTCCCTCTACCTACATGTTTTGTCTGGCTTTAAACTTCTTTCTACATCATCATAGTATTTCAGCTGGCTCGTCTCTGTTGTTCTCTCGGTGTCTAGCTTTTCTAGCTTAGTGTATTTGTAATTTAGTAATACTTGCATACTTCTTTTATTAATAATTGATTTGATTAATTTTTCTAATGTTCGTTTGACTGTGTGCTTCACTCGTTTTAAAGTAGTGAAAAAAATATTTTTAATGCATATGAAGTGTAAGAAAGCAATTTGTAAAATGATTTTTATTAAAAAATTTTAATTGATTTATGATATATTCAATACACGTACATTTGGTATATTTCATTTTTTATGTGTATTTAATGCCTCTTCTATTCTAATCGATCTTATTGATTATATTTGGAATTCTTAGCACTAAAATTAATGCATGCTACGTGGGGTTTCGTATATTTTTCAAGAGGATTTTTATAATCGTGTTTAGCATATACTTTCGTTTATATTATTTATCTGCTGATTATTTACTTAAATTACTTCCTTATACACTACGACATTTATGATGAAACAAAAGTTTACGAATAAAATTTTGTGATATAAGTTATGCTTATTTCATTCCATATTTTTGAAAAGCAAATTCAGTCGACTTCCGCATTTTTATAATTTTTTCACAAGCATTTATTAAAATTTATAGAATAATTTTCTCTATCGTATATATACGTATGTTGTGCACTTTATCAAATCCGGAACACTCAAATATGAAGGAGCCTTGAGCCTCCCCAAAACACTCAAAATCGCTAGCAAAAGAAAAATTAAAAGCACGTCTCCCAAGATTCCTAGGTCAAATAAATTATACCTTTCCTTGCGGCATTCTTCTCGCGCTCCCTCCTCTCTCTCTCTCTCTCACTAGTATTGGTCGAATGTCGATTCTCCCGCGAGACGGCGCTGTGTGTGCACCCGTCGGGAAACTTCGGCGGCGCTCGTCGTAGTAGAGTAGCGGTGGCGACCAGTCCAGTCCACCTCGAGCAACCGAGTGCATCGGGTCCGTTCCGTCAATTTTTATTGTCATCTGAACTCCTGCCCGCGACGCGTGTTATTTTGGCATCGTCTTCTCAGTCGAATCAACTTTCTCCGCCGATAGAAAAAAGTAATGAAGATTTATTGAACGCAGCTAAAAACCTAGTGCGTTTTATTGCTTATTTCGTCTCTTACTGTCAACACATAACAAGGGACGGATGATATTTGCGTGCGCGGACTTGTGCGAGTGAAGGAGATTATTGCTGTTGTTGAGAGAGAGAGAGGTGTGCGAGTAACGAGAGCGAGGCGGGGCGCACACACGTGAGAGACCCGCCGGGATTTCTCAAATTCCGGAGCTTTTTGGCTGCTTCGGCTCCAGTTTTTCTTCTGTGCTTACTATCTCACTATCTTTTGGCTTGTAGCAGTTATTTCGGAGAACGGGAACACGCCGAGAACGCGGCACGAGTTTTTAAAGGTGAGAGACGACACCATCTTCCGCTCTGCCCCCGTCGTAAAAGTGTAGTAAAAAACTGTGCTGTGCTCATGCTTGCGTCTCCAGGATGTGTTGTTATTGTAAATAGCAAGTGCAGTATAGCTATGGGTACACACGTGTGTCTACGACGATTCGCGAGTACCTTGGCAGTGTATGATTACACGAAGGGGACGAGTTTACCCATTGACAAAATTCAACTACAAAACTTTTTATCATCTTTCTTTATCTGTCGTTTTTTCTAGAACAGGACGGCATTTTTTTGTATCACATTGCTGTTGCATTTCTAAGAAAACCGCAGAATATTTCATATAACAACTAGCGTTTTCCTAGAAGCTTCGACTAACCTAACTCATTTTCAGAACTTTGCACTCGTCTATTGAAGAGTCTCAGTGTAAATTAAATTCATCTCATCGAAAGTCAAGCAAACCAAGTATAGTTGAGAATAGGCGTAACGTAACATCATGCACCCTAAGATTCCAGGAGATAGCGTGAGACAAGCATACGGCAGCAGCCGCGTCCCTCTCTCTCGTAGCACATTCGATTTTCCGCGGCAGACATCCCTCTGACGACCCAACGCTTATGTGTGTGCGCGTGCGTTTTGTCTCGGGCGCGCGTGGGGGTGAAAGCCCTTCGTCGGTAGCGTACTGCGCCGTCGGCGTCTCTTGCTATTCCGCGCGGGCGGCTCTTTTTTAAACGCGACTAAAGGGTGCATCATACGCACACTACTCGCGAGCGACACTTCGATGGCTTCTATTAATAGTTCACGAAGCCTGTACCGCTCTACCGTCTCTCTCTCACGGAGAACATGATTATCATCGGATCGATGTGTGCTAGCTTCTCGTTTTTTATTTCTGAATTTATTCAGAACAAGAAATAGATTTGCGGGTTTTGAAAATTCGCGCAGCAAGTTTGACAGCCGTTGAGAGTTTTATTTAAGTAGCTACATACATGCATTCATTTCAAAGTTAAATTGAATGAGTTCACGTCATGATTATTGTTTGTACCGTAACAGACTTGACGTTTTAATGTTAATTCGAGTAATATTCATTAGTCTGTACGGCTTATGAAATTTATTTTACAAGCATTTCTTGTTTTAGATAAAATTTACATTTGTAAAATTTGAGTTGAGGATTGAATACACTATTAGACAAGGTCGTAGATCATTTAAACTATATAAGTAAATTAACTTTTTATGTAAGTAACTGGTAGTTGCCAATAAACTACAAATAGAATTTGAAAAATCATTAGAATCTACGTGAAAATGTTGTGTTGCTTCGTAAAAATGCGTTAGAACGTCAATTCTATTGAAAAAGAAAATTGTATCGAGTGCTTTATAATGCTGGCTACGCGTATGATTGTTAGGTGAATCTGCTTTACATAATGGAATATTATCTGAATACGTATAGGCGAATGCAAATACAATTTTTCCTCGAGTTGTAAATACTGCTAGTAGGATTTTCTGCGAACCGGAAATCACGCCATAGCTAAGGGCCACACAACAATAGAACGTTGTTTGTCGGCGCGCTACATACTCGGGCCAAGTAGCGATATCCTTCATTACCTTAGAAAATGATAAATCCCGGATCAAAGAGACGAAAATTTACAGAGCTTGTCTCTCTCTTTCTCGCGCGATATACACAAGATGACGCACGTAAGACTTGCAGAGTGCGCTGGCCGATGCGCATCTATTTCCAGAAAAGAGACTTGCCTACCCATCATTAGGGCCTCTCTCTCTCTCTCTCTCTATCTCTCTCTCTCCTTCCGTCTTTCTTTCGTGCATTCTGCCTCTTGTGAAAGATATTACACCGACGTATCTCACTGTCCGCTAGGAATTATTGAAATTGCCGCTCGCTCACTGCAGACGGCCCGCGATGCTTTTTATTTTATCACCGTAGCCGCGGCAGCTGCTGCCGCTTAACTTTCTTTAGCTCGCAGAGATCAGAGATGTCGCTTTGTTCTATCTTGTCAACTTTGTCAATTAGACTCACCAACGAAAGTTGTTGCAACGGGTGGCTGCTGATTTTTCGATTTTATAGTGAATGTGTTCGCGATGAATTTGAGTAGTCGCGTTAATCAAACATTGTTTCGGTTTTGCATTTGCGCTTTGACGCAACTAAACCGTTACTAGGCGAATGGAAATTGAAAGTTATGAAGACGTGACGTGCTTCTATTTAATTACAACGACGATCGCGTTAAAGCTTAGGACAATCGACAATTCAATAATCTATTTTCAAATATAGAAAGCAATATGAGGCGTGCAGCATGAAAACCGGGAAAAAAGCAAACGAAGAGCGAAAATAACCGATAAAAATAGTCGCTCTGCCTTATCAACACTGTCGTATCGATTGTCAGCTTACAGATATTGCGGGGAAAAAAGTGAACGTTATCTAATCGAACAGGTGAACTCATCGCGGGTACATCTGTGCGAAAAAAGTAAAGCCCAGGATGTACACAAGGCGTCGTCGGCTCTATGTTCACTGACTAATCATTGGTCGAGTGGACGCTCTTTCATCGACTTGCGGCGTTATACGTTTTTTCCAATAAAATCTTCTAATCGACGAACACCTGCGGCAAGGTCGCGTGATGAAGTTGCGTGCGAGCAGCAAATTTTTCGTGCCGCGCCTTCTCCATGCGCGTATATACATCGCCTCTCTCCCTCTTTTTTTTTACGCTCGATACGTCGATCGCGGATGATTGTATGATTATACTCGTCCGTCCGGTTTCTTGCGATCTGGTTTAGAAGGCATCGATTCCTCTTCTTTTTCTCTCCTGTTTTTTACGCTGGTGAACTGATTGGGTGGAGCTCTTCGGCCGGAGACTTTTGGAGGGGAATATTTTTGTTTACGTGGCAGACACCCGCTATTTCGGTGAACGTGTTGGTGATTTATAAATACATGCGTCGATTCATTGTGGAAGCGACGAGAATTAGAATGTTCCGCTTATAATACATTTTTCTACGACTGCACGATCGTGTTTACTTCGATAAAACATCATCGATAGCTTCAGAATGATTGCGAGTTTGAATTTTTTAAATCTCGAAACAATGGTGTCAGATCGTAAAGTGCGAGATAAAAAATTCATATATTGTATCTGGGTTCGCTCCGTGTACGGGCACTTGAATAAAATCGTAAATCGTCGGCGTAAAAAATTGTGCAATCACAGTGAAAATTCGATTGCACTTTTCGAAAGCAGAACAAGAAGAAAAAAAAACAACCGTTCGTGCAATTTACATTTGGTCTTGATATCCCAATGCATACATCTCATTTAACAATGAAACCGCCAAATATCCGCAACGTTTATAGCAGCTGAACAAGTTCTATTAAAGCAGTTATTGGAACCTGAGTGTACAGAGAGCGCGCAACGATAATTTTCTGCATATTGATTCCTCAAACGAGTTCTTTTTCTCTGTTTTCGTGAAACAGCCATAAAAGTGTGATTATTTGGATGAGCCGCACGAGAAAGCAATTAATTATGCGCGTGTATCGAAATCGGAATTTCAAATTTGAAAAAAAAAGTGTGTTCGTGAGGCGATTGTTGTCATTCGTTAAAAAGATAAAAAGGCCACGGAGGATTTAATGCGCACGAGCGCGTACCCAGTTGACATTTTTCACACTTTACTTTCTTTTTCGTGCTGTCCCTCTCCGCGCTCGCGACAAACAGTAAATCTTTAAACCAGTTCCAAGCAAAAGCTCCCACTCCCCTCAATTATAAATTACAGTAAGACGCCTGAATTAGATTTTTTAACGACATGCGATAGAAGACAATTAATCTTTCGTTTATGAAAATTGGAACTTGGAACGCGCGAGATGCATCTATGTTGATTGCGCAACATATAGAGGCCAAAACATTGAGAGAGCTATATACCGTTTCGTTGACGGCCAGAGCGACCGGTCCAATGCACGGGGGGCCTCTGTTGTAAATTGTAGGCATGCATGCCAAGCAAAAGAGAGAGAGAGATAGAGCGAGGAGGGGGGCAGGCTATTTTTCCACAACAGAAACCGTAGAGGTTATTTTCGAAACTGCATGGCCATACTTCTGAGAAAAAAAATTGGAAAATACAGGAGGGTGGAACAACCGGTTACGCGCGTAGACTACGTGTAAGTATTTTTGCTTTATCGCGATTGCTACTGCGGCGGCGGGCGTGCGTTAAAACGCAATTGCTCAATTGGAAAATACTAATGCTAATATTGTCTTATTTATCGCGTTCGGCATTTGAGACTGTAGCTTGGTTGTTTTTCGACAATGAATGAGTTATTTTTTCTTATGTATATAGTGCCATTATTTTATTGCCGAGCATTATTGTCCAATGAATTCGCAATGGTTTACGGTTTGCTGAAATATATTCATTCGAGGGCCGGTCTAAATAGTTTCGACCACATTTGTTCCTTGAAATCATCGGCTTTTATCATAAACACGGTACATTTGCTCGGGTGATCTACTGAAATCGCATCGTAAGCAGTAAACGAAGTTATGAGACACAGCCTGACCACAGTTGTTTTCTGTTTACCTCTAACTATTATAGCTTCAATTTAAATATGGATTGTTAATAAATTAATATCGACGCTAATAAATATTTTCATTATCAAAACAATATTTGCACTATTCCAACAAGAATTTATACGTATAAAATTTAGCTTTGCTTTTTTGTGCTTACTTAAACCATTATATTGTGATTTTATCCCAAACTTGATCAACAATCAGTACATTTGAGTTTCTGTTCACTATCGCAATGTTCAATTGATGCTAGAGTCATTGCGCTTCCTGATAATGAAACCAGAAGGCATTTCTAGTACTAAAAAATAACTTTAGTGTTCCAGAACACTAAAAAAATCGCAGCTTGCTGTGACAATGTATGTTTTAAATGTCCATCAGGATATAATAAATTAAAAAGCAAAATGTGCGTTTTGATCAGTCAAACGCAAAATTGAATATATTTCACTAAACCAATAAAACAGTAGATTCATCTTTGAGGCATGTTTGAC